CCGGGCGCGCCGTTCTCGACCCCGCCGCCTCCCGCTCACGCTAAGCCGGGGCCTCAGCTCATACTAGCCCGGCCTCAGCTCACTCTATCCCGGCCTCAGCGCACGCTAAGCCGGGGCTTCCCCTCACGCTAGGCCGCTGTGTTTTTTGTTGTGAAAGCGAAACTACTTTGTTTGGTCTTCCAAAAGAGGACACGACTACTGTTTTTTTTACTTTAAACTGCATAAACACATTTCATTACACCAAATACACAAAATAATGTTCTTTTTAGCAGCATCATATGACCCCTTTAATTGTAATGCTCATTTCCACTGTTTTAACATGACATTTATCTTTGCTGTCATCTAATGCTTAAATAGTTTTTTTAAAAGATTAACAGTTTTTTTTTTTTTACATTTCTAATTAATGATTTCAATTCGTTTTTATATTTTAATTTAAATAATGTTTATAGTTAAAAACAAATCTGGAAAAAATGAATAACCATTTATGTTGTAATGCCTAAATTCATTTTTAAAATTTAAAAGGATTCATTTTAGTTTAGTGTTTTATTGTTAGTCTGTTTAGATAAAATAATAGTGAATTGTAATATCTGCCATTTATCATGAAAATTATTTTGAATCTGTATTGGCCACAATTTCAAAATCTTGCATTCCTAATTGTGGGTAATTTATAGTACTGTTAAAAATTATTTTATGCTCACAAAGGCTGCATTTATTTGTTCAAAGATACAGTAAAAACAGTAATATTGAGATAACTTATTACAATTTCAAAATATTGTTTTCTATGTTTATATGTTTTAAAATGTAATTTTTTTTGTGTGATGGCAAAGCCATCATAGCATCATTACTCCAGTCTTCAGTGTCTCATGATCCTTCAGAAATCATTCTAATATGCTGATTTGATCTGCTCAAGAAACATTTCTAATTATTGTCAGTGTTGTGCTGCTTAATATTTTTGTGTAAACTGCAATATATTTTTACTGACCCAAAACTTTTGAGCAGTAATGCTTGTGCTTTATCTTCAAATGTAGAATCATGTTCTTAACCTAAACATAACCACATGTCTGTTGTTTCCTTCAGGCAAGAAACTATTCGGGGAGGGTTACAGTGGACTGGAATATGACTACAGAGGCCTGATAAAACTGTACAACTCAGTTGGAAACTACGAGAAGGTCTTTGAGTACCACAATATTCTGTCCAACTGGAACCGTTTAAGGGACAGGCAGTTTGCGGTAGCCGATGCGCTGGAGGACGTCAACACGAGCCCCCAGGCCACAGAGCAGGTGGTGCAATCTTTCCTGCTTTCCCAGAGCCACGGAGCCGGCCGTCCCTGCTTGGGCTAACGGCCGGGAAGCCCACCTGAAACCTAGATGTGCACACCCACCCCCATTTCACACCCTCACATCCAGTTATTCACAAGTAGTCCAGACGGGCGGGGAGTGTGATTTATTATCCTGAGCTTCTCAAGGACCGTCAATTCACTTGTACCAGCAACTCCCCAAGCCCATTTCCTTAAAATGGGAGAAAAACCCTGACATCTTTGTGACCCTGCTAACACTCATGATGGATAAGCAACCATTCATCGAATTCATTCACTCTCCTTTGAAGAACCCGACCATTTCTCTGAGTTCAAGAGGAGTTGAATAAAAAAAACAGTGCAGTCCGACAAAGACGGAAAACTTCCACACCCTCTATTCTTTTTTTTATTTGATTTTGTATTTGAAGGAGAGTCGCTCCACACTACAGGAATACTTTGTTTATCACCACATTGTCTATTTGTGGAGGAAATTGCTCAGCGCAGCTCCCACAGAACGAGATTCGAAATCGTTCATATAACCGAGTGAAGGAACATCCGTAGGCGTCCGTGTCCCCATTAACACGAGGATTAGAGCTTGACTTCATGTAATGCAAAGCTTTGCATTTGAGGATTACCTGTGTGCTCTCTGGAAAATGAGACCAGCCATGTTACATTATGGACCATTATGTTTATTTTTGCTTCTTTTTTTTATTAATAATTCATGTCACGTGTGGAATTTACGGACCAGTGAGTTTATGTTTGCTCTAGATACCTTGTTTTAAGTTCTCTTCTGGTTTTGTATTCCCTTAGTACTGACATAGCTTATTTTAAACTGCCAATAATTTATATGCAAGGTATGCTACAACTTGTAGGTGTAACGTTGCAAATGGATGAGCCAAAATGACTTCTGTTCATAATAATAATACATACGTGTGCGACCACAGCTAATTGCCATAATATGAACTAAACCAAGTGGGAGGACAAGTTCACAAAGCTGGCTTTCTGTCATAGCGGAGCCTTATTCACGCACACGCACAATATAAGCTGAGGCGGTGATAGTTACGAGACCAGGTTTCCCAGGTCGTTGTTGTTTTACTTTCAGAGCTCGGCCCTGGGCGGCGTAGATTAACACCCCTGGCCCACTGCCAGCTGACTAGACACACAGAGAAAAGGGCTGAGTGCAGCACCTGTCATTGTGAAGAGGCTCCCCTGCTGGGGAACCTGCGGTATAGTGCACAGGGGGTGTGAATCCACGCACGATTGTGTAGTAACAGTGCAATATTTGCTGAACGCACCTGTACCACTCCAAAACCAATCAGTCTGACTCATTTCACTGCCACTCCTCTCTCGATCCATATTTAAAAGCCACACAGACTCTCAACAAAGTTGACAGGAAGAACATTTCAAGTTTGAATGAGGGCCGTTCAGATTAAATTGGCATCCTTTTGTCACACCTTAATAAAGAACTCATTGCTGAAACAAAGCCTTGCCAGTCATGTAGAATGTGCTTTTAGTGTCTCGCCACATTTTAGCTCCTAGCCAGCAGCACCAGGACCCCAGATCGAGCTGAAGTCCCAGCCTTAGTCTTAAAGGACTCTCAGCTGGCTGGGATCTGCTTTGTCAGCTTTTTTTTTTTTTTGAGTAGCTTGCTTCGAACGAAACCTCCACCTTTAGCCCCGTAAACAGAGCAAGAGATGGCTTAGGACAGGTGAGGGACTATATTTCGCACATTTTGACTCCTTAAAAATCCGTTTATTGTTATGTTTGAGGTTTTATTGTGAAGAATGAGGTGGTCTTAAAAAGGAAAGTCCACCTAAAATGAAAATTCTGTCGTGATTTGCTCACCCTCATGTCATTCCAAACCTGTATGCATTTCTTTCTTCTGTGGGACATAAAAGAAGATATTTTGAATAATGTTAACTAAACCGTTTTGATTTCCATTGACTTCCACTGTATGGACAAAAATACAATGGAAGTAAATGGGAACTGGAAAAATCTTCTTCAAAGTATCTTCTTTTATGTTTCACAGAGGAACGAAAGTCATACAGGTTTGGAAAAACATGAGCTTGAGTAAATGATAGAATATTCATTTTTGGGTGGACTATTCCTTTAATACCATACTTTTTGGCAGCAAGGTAAGGACAGGAATTTGCTTTGGTTAGAGAGATGGAATATTGTAACAAATAAACTGTGATCTTGCAAACTTTGTAAGTGCATTTCCATTGACTATGTGCTATAAATGGACTGAATTAGTGGAGTTCTCATATCAGATGATGAGTTTAGTAATATGAACATCAAATGTGAAAATTAATGCACATGGGAAACAAGTAAGCTTAGTGGATGGATGCTGAATGAATTTATAACATAGCTCTGATTGCTTCCTTCTGAATGTCGATTCAAGGACTTATTTGTCAACCTCAAGTGGTATTTCTTGGTTAGAAAGATGGTTGATCACTGTTGTTCGAATCCAAACTGCTTCTCCATCGGAATAGGCCACAGTTCCCCAAAAATCAAAGGTGCTTCTGGGTCAAACGTTCTATTTTTGCATGTTTGAGTAAATGTATATAGATGTAGATGCATAGCTACAAGTGGTTATTGTCCCAGTGAGCTCCATAGTGACAGCATTTTTTTTTTCCACACTGAGCAGTTAATAAATGTCCAGGAAATTAGAGAAAAAAATAATGAACTTGGCGACTCTGAAGTGTTAAACTGATCACATAAATTAATAAATAGCATCCTCTGACAATAAAAGCAATCCTGTCACTTCCAACTTTTCTTCAAAACCTGCCCTCAGAGAGTTGGAGAATGTAATTAAGGGTTGATAACTGATACAGTGGGGCCTTTTATATGCTAATTGTCTTTATGAAGTCCTCAAGACATGCTGCCACGTGTAGATTGTGATTTAGCCAAAGTGCTCTGATGGCGATCCTTGAAGTAACAACCGATGAGTGGACATGATCTCTTAGGACTTTCTTTTGTCTATATTCATTGGAGTCACTCTAGAAGAGTTTCTGATCAAATCCAATGACGAAGTGGAAAATTGTGTTATTTAACATTGATACTGACGGTTACCATGGAAATGTCAGTAACCTGTGCCACAGTGAGCCTCTGCTTGGATACTCTTCAATCATTGGCTTTATGTAACTCACCCTCAGTAGAGTCTGCTGTACATTTGTATCCACTATTGTGAAAATCTGTAACTAACACAAAAAAAAAAAACAATATAGAGCTGTTTAATAGACTACAACAAGCACTATTGCTTCTGAAGTATTAAAGTTGCTTTATTTTTAGCCTTTACATGATTATTCTCCACCTGTTCCTGAAGTCAGTGTGATATGTTGAGTCTGTGAGTTGAATGAATGCGACAGGATCCTACAAAAACCACTCTTTTGGATGGATTGGTGACTGAACAAAAATTAAGAATAAAAGACTGTACTCAGCATGTGTACGTCTGGAAGATATTTACTCACTTTTTCACTATAGTCATAATTAATGACCAGATTTCTTTTTTTAATCCCAAATTACTGCCCTTTAAATATTAATGTAATTCATTATACACTACTGTTCAGTTTTTATTTTAAGAAAGTAGTACTTTTATTCAGCACGGATGCATTAAATTGATCAAAAGTGACAGTAAAGACATTTATAATCTTACAAAAGAATTATATTTCAAATTAATACCTTTTATTTGCACAGCTATTGATTATTTTTACATTTATGCATTTACCAGACGCTTACATTGCATTTCTAGGCTCATTTTATCAGTTCATGTATTTCCTGAGAATCAGACTCATGACGTTACCGTTACTAGTGCCATACATTACTGTTTGAACTGCAGAAACAATAAATACAAAATAAATACATGAAGTGCAAGTTTTGAATCAAGAAAATCTTTAATAAAAAAAAAACAAAAAAAACAACGTAACTGTTTGTGCAAAAAGCCTCCTTTCCTAAAAACTGCATTTAAGGACTCTAGCTCACACACAGTCACACACACGATGTGCAAAACTCCGCATTTGAACAGTCAATAGCAAATACTTAAACTAATAACAAAACAGTAGCTGATTCAGAAGCGCCAGATTGTCATAGCAAAGTCAGAATTACCTCCTCTCCTAGGTTCACAAAACGGTCGTCCATAAAATGCATTGCTGTTCTGTTGTAAGTAATCTTAAAGATTCCTAAATGCATCTACTTTCGGAAGGCCAAATAAAGTGCTTTTGCTTTCGCCTAGAAACACACAGCGTCTCCCTGACATGGCTGCTTCAACACTAACTGCGGTTACTGAAACCACACCTTCTTTCTTTGCGTGCACATTTGGGCGGCATTATGCAAATATTTCCACATAGTGAGGTAGACATGTGGGGGCGTGTTAGAACTAGCCGTTTTAGGGGGGTGTGGCAGAGTCTTAACTTTGATAAAGAATATCTCTTTGGCTTTGAGACTTTAGTCTTTGCAACTTCAGGGATCTTATCTATGCACAATCAGCTTGTAACACTCCAAAGAGAAAGGAAAACTTGAAATCACATCATATGACCCCTTTAAGGAAAGGAAGCTTTTTTTTTTTAGGGTTTAAGAAAATATAAATAGATCCCTGCAACATTACTCCCTGGTAAACTGGTTTTTCTTTTCCATAAATTACATTCAACAAGCTCAGTAACAGAGATAGTGGTTTTTTTCTCAGCTGTTTATTAGACCAGAAGCCTTATAAAATATGAATTTCAATCTGAAACCCTTACTACATCCTAAATGAGCCTTTAGAGATCCCTAGTTCTTCTTTTCGTCCTCTTCATCCAATAAGAATCTCAAATGGGTTACGATGCACCACATCTGCAAAATGACATTAACAGTATTTACACATAAATGCCTTGGTGACAGTAAAAGCACACTAATAATGCTGAGTAAACATGCTCCTCACCTCAACTGCAAAGCCCAGTAAGCGTCCCGCTGTCAGCACCAGAATTCCCAGAATCTGTAGCCAGTTTGGGGCAAAGAGAGTCTGCGACAACACCTCATACTGGTAGCCATACAGCCACACGGGTAAAATATGGAGCCCTGCTATTGTCAGAATGCCCAAGGGAGTCTTGAAGCCTGCAACAAGAACAACAGCATTCATCAGGGCTTTTCACAATTAAAATGGGTCATTCTAAACCCAAGGTAAATGGGGGTTATAAATTACAACTGTGAAACATTCCTCTACCTTGGGTTAAAAGTGGGGTTAGAATGATGGATTTAAGTGCAATGTGAAAAGACGTACATTGTCTTTTAGGTTTAGGCATTCAAACATTTTACAGTTTAAAAAGAAAAAAAATAACTTGTTGCCATACCTTTTGCCTGCACCCAAACCGGGCTCTCAGTGAACGAGTTCTTCCATTGGGCACCTCTGGCATTGTGGTTGCACACAAATACACACCACTCCACTGAAGACACCAGCAAACCCCACTTCACAAGCACAGAGAGCAAAGTCATTCAAACTAATACAAATATTGTTGGGACAAGCATACGTACATACCTCTGCTGTCTGAACATACATCATGAAGCATGTTCCAGAGCATGCCACGTCCTACATTGTCAATGACCACATCCAGCCACGCTCCAAACCTCCGAAGTTTTGTCAGCTCAGTAGTGCACAAGAAGCTCCTGGTTTTCCTCCAGAGTAAGAACTATGATGCATGTTACTGTCACGTTATTTACTGTGAGGAGCAAGAAACACAGAGACTAGGGATAATCTCAAACAACAGTCTAAAACCCTAAACATCCAAGGTGAAACACAGGCAGGCAGGAGACACACGTAGCACTACTAGACATTTAACACCAGAACAGGGGAACATAGGGCAAACAACACTTTAAATACAGGACTAAAGGAGGGTAATGGACAAGACACACCTGAACCAATTGACTAATCAACAAGAGGGAGAAACTGGGTCATGGGAGCACATGGGGACAGAAAACACAGCAAAACAGGAACACCAGTCTGACAGTTAGATTCTGCACTTACATATTTTTAGCAGAATATATTATGTAAATAATAAGTAAGGAAGTAAAGTTGTATTTATGTAGCATAGAAGAGAGTAAAAATAGAACTAAAATTATATAAAAATACATAAAAAAATAAACAAAACTAAAAGAATAACAATTATTAATTTTACTTATATAATTTATTACTGTGTCATATTTCATTATAAATATTATGTAATTTATTCTAAATCATTTTAAGACATTTTGTGGCCCTCTTGGACGTTTAGTGAGGCCCCCTAGTGTTTCTGGCCCTTGTTAAGCAGCCTTTGTCCTTGCTGATATTATAGTATATTATTATAGCATAATAATAGTATAATAATATCCAATTTAAAATTAAAGGTTCCGAAAGGGGTTTTTCAAAGCGATGCCATAGAAGATCTGTTTTGGATTCCTCAAAGAACCTTTTAATGAACAGTTTTAATTTTAATTTTATTTATTTATTTATTATTGTGAAGAACCTTTGACTAATAATAGAATCTTTTGTGCAATGGAAAGGTTCCATGGATGTTAAAGGTTTCTCATGGAACTATATGCAATTATAGAACCATTATTTTTAAGAGTGCATGTATTTATACTTTCCCTAGCTTTCATGTAATTACCTACCATCCAATATAATTGATAACACTTATACAAGGGCACAAAACTCCCTGGGTCACTATACAGAATCCAGGCAATGAGAACTAGAAGAATCCGGATATAACCTATAAAAACAAACATTTTACATTACAAATAGCATCATTAATTAGAGTGCATTAAATATAGGCGTAAATGTAGTTGGAGTGATCTAATATTTTTGATTCTTTAAAACGAATTCTGCTGCTGCAACAAATACACAGATGACACGTAATAATTACTCTGA